GCACTGGGAAGACCCAGAGGGATCGGGCGGAGAGGGAGGTGGGAGGGGGGACCGGGATGGGGAATACATGTAAATCCATGGCTAATTCGTTTCAATGTATGACAAAAACCACTGCAATGTTGTAAGGTAATTGGCCTCCAACTAATAAAAATAAATGGAAAAAAAAAAATCCTCTCTGTTCTGCCTATTCATCTTTGCTCACGGCTGCGTTTGCCACCACTGATTTTTTTTTTTCTTTTAAACCATCTCCATAGTTTTACCTTTTCCAGAATATCATATAGTTGGATTTGCACTGCATGTAGCCTTTTTCAGACTGTTTCTTTTACTTAGTAATATGCAGTTAAGATTTTCTGCGTCTTTTCATGGCTCTGTAGCTCATTTCTCTTCAGCCCTGAATAATATTGCATTGTCTGGGTGTGCCATGTTTTATTTTTCCATTCACCTACTGGAGGACTTCTTGGTTGCTTTCAAGTTCTGGCAATTATGAATAGAGCTGCTACAAATATCTGTGTGCAAATTTTCATGTGGATAAAAATTTTCAACTCCTTTGAGCAAATACCAGGGAACATGACTGACTGTCTCATATGGTAGGAGGATGGTTCGTTTGTAAGAAACTTTCAAACCATGCTCCAAAGTGGCCACACCATTCTGCATTCCCATCAGCAACGATGAGAGTTCCTGTTGCTCTGTATTCTCTCCAGCATTTGGTGTTGCAATTTTGTTTGTATATCTTTGCAACATATTAATTATCCATTTAGTGCATAATTTCACATTAACTGGCATAAAATCATTCATGGTTTTCTTATTTAACTTTTTAAATCTCTGATCTGCTCTTCACATGATTCTCCTGTATGTCCTTCTTCCCCCTAAGTAATTTTGGTAGGTTTGAGGAAACACTGACTTTGGTTCTGTTACTGTCTATTGATATTTTCTTCATCATTTCAGTAATTCCTGATCTTAATTTCTGTAGTGACTTCCTTCTCTACATTCCTTAGAGTTATTCAGCTTTCATTCTTCTAATTTCAATTTTTCCTCCTTTCAAAGATCAGAAATTTAGTTTTAAACACCATTTTGGCAGCACTATATAACTTTTCAATCTATAATAGATGTCCTTTTCATTCAGTTCTAAGCAACTGATGTTTTCAGTGATTTGCCCTTTATCCACATGTTGTAAAGTTATGTGTACACAAATATTTTGTTTTGAACATTTTCTCTTGATTTCAGATTTAATCATGGTGGGTCAAAGACAATGGCAAGCATGAAACGGATTGCTTAAAATTTAGTTCAACTTCCCATATATGGTCAACCTTTTACAGTTATACAGATTTTAGAGAAGAATCAGTCTGTCTCTTAAGTGCAGGGTTCTACATGTTTCTACTAATTTGAACCTGTCAATACTATTAGAGGTATGCCTGGAATTACACCTCATATTTCATACCTTGTTTGACATCCTTTTTAGTTCATATCTTGCTTTTATTCCTTTTTTGCTTGATGCTGCTTGTTTTTTCTTTAATAAAATATAGATTCCCTTATATTTTTTTCCTGCTAGGTCAGAAACTAGATTACACACATATTCTTAATTATAATAAATACTTTAGTTGCATCTAGTATTGAGAAACCTAGACAACATATTAAAAAGCAAAGCCATCACTTTGTCAACCAAGGTCCGTACAGTCAAAGCTATGTTTTTTCCAGTAGTCATGTATGGATGTGCGAGCTGGACCATAAAGAAGGCTGAGCACTGAAGAATTGATGCTTTCAAGTTGTGGTGCTAGAGAAGACTCATGAGAGTCCCTTGGACAGCAAGGAGGTCAAGTCAGTCAATCCTAACGGAAATCAACCCTGAACATTCATTGGAGGGACCGATGATGAAGCTGAAACTCCAATGCTTTGGCCACCTGATGTGAAGAGCTGATCACTGGAAAAGGCCCTGATGCTGGGAAAGATAGAAAGCAGGAGAGAAGGGGACGACAGAGGATGAGATGGTTGGATGGCATCACCAACTCAATGGACGTGAGTTTGAGCAAATTCAAGGAGACGGTGAAGGACAGAGGAGCCTGGTCTGCTACATTCCATGGGGTCACAAAGAGTCAGACATGACTTAGTGACTGAACAACAACAACAGTATTTTGAAACACATAACTATCTTTTTTTCTCATGTAGTCTCAATAACTACATTCTTCTTATCCTAACTAAAGTCTTATTAATGATTTGACCACATGTTTAAACACACAATCCCGTTGGCTAAATATCCAAAGTTTTAGTTTTACTTTGTTCGAACAATCCACATGGAATCCAACTTAAGACACAGAATCCCTGTCTCAGCTTGTTACTGTTCTCATGCTCTGGCCTTCCTCACCACTCATATTTCTTCTTCTGGAAGTACAACATTTATTCACTTTTTTAGTGAGGATTACCAGTAGCAAACTGCCTCAATCTTTATCTGAAAGCTTTGTTTTGCTTTCACGAGATGGTGATATAAAATTTTAGATGGACAGATCACTTTCCTTCAACAGTTTGACAAATTCCAGTATTGTTCTCTGGCTCCTACTGGGCCCACGTCACCCATCCATCCATCGGCCGTTCCCAGCTGGGAAATCTGTTGCTTCCCTTCAGATTTTGTCTTCCATTTTCTGGAATAATGCAAAACACTCTTGGATGTGGACGAATCTCCATTTTCCCCCTTAGTCTTCTGCGTGCAGCTGGGGTTCTGCCTTCTCAGTTCTGGCCCCTTCTCCACCAGCATCTCTTCAGACCCCACCTGACTCCTTCCGCTCCCCTTCCCTGTGGGCGTCAGTGACTGTGTCCAGTGCTGGAGGGGGTGACTCCAGCTCACTCATTCTCTTTAGACCAAATGCAGCAATTTGGAAATGGCAATGGTTATTCATCTCATTTCCCAAACTTCTCAGGGGCTCTAACACCCCATCTTCTTGTTTCATTTCTTCCCATCGTATTTCATAGTTTCTTGTCCTCCTTGGTGGATGTTATTCTTGCATTCATCTCCAGGGTGTTACAGACACACTTACCTGTGTGTGTGAAGTGGCAATCTCGCCATCCCAGGAGCTGCAGTGCCTACTAGTAGACAGCTGCCCACGCTGGGAATGCTGGCTTGCAGGGCATCTAGGCTGCGCTGGGCTTGTGTGTTCCCCTCCCATCCTCCTGTGTGCGTAGGGCTTGGGGTGCTCAGGGGTGCTCCTTAGGGGAGTCTAGGGTGCTGTGGGTCTCTGCCCAGGACCGTTTTCCAGGGTCTTTCAGGAGCAGGCTGGGGGTACCCTGCCCTCGCTCCCAGTGAGTTGTGTAAGTTTGGTCCCTACTATTCCCTGGGACCTGAACTGCCCACCATCACTGGTGCCTATGGAGCCTGCAGCCCGTTGGGCGTGGTGTCAGCATCACTCACTGCTCTGCGGACAGCTCTATCTTGTGGGAGCCAGGCGGGCTCCTCTTGGCCTTCCTGTGTGTGGGCTGTGTCTGCAGAATGACTGAGGATGGCAGGGAAAGGTGGTCAGTGTCAAGAGGGGCCTGACCTCTCTGAGTTCTGAAGCTGAGTTCACCATGGAGTCACGTCTGCTCACTTCCCCATGCCTGGCTGCAGTTACTGAGTCAGGGCAGATCCCAGCTCACGCACTCACTGTTAGCAGTGAAACAGAACAATTAAAATTTCCCTAAGTTCCAAAGCCAACATGATCAAACTGGTACTCCTACCCTTGCATCACCTAGTGTAATGGTTTTCTGAAAGGGGACCCTACAATTATGCTTGACACAGGAATCCTGACTGCTTTTACCAGTCTTCTAATACTTGAGAAAACATCCTTTTGACTTCATGGTCACCTCCCAGACTTTATTATTGCTAAATTTCATTCTCTTTCTCCTTAGGTAATTTAAAAAAAAATCTAAATATTCTACTCCCTACCAGCTCTAAACCCTACAATTTCTGTTACTTAAACTCTCCAACAGGGACCTCCCTGGTGGGCCAGTGGTTAAGGATCTCCCTGGCAATGCAGGGGGATACACTGCATCCAGGTTCAATTCCTGGTCCTGGAAGACACCACCTGCCGTGGAGCAAGTAAGCTTGTGCGCCTCAGCTACTGAATCCCACAGTCCAGGGCCCACGAGCCACAGCTACAGACACCTGCACACCTAGAGCCCGTGCGCTGCAACAAGAGCAGCCAACCCAACAGGAAGCCCACACACTGCGACTAGGGAGGAGTCCCTGCTCACCGCAACCAGAGAAAGTCCACGTGCAGCACTGCAGATCCAGCACAGCCACAAAACAAAGCGCTCTAATAATCTAAAGCGCCAGCCTGTCCCATCTCATGATCAGGCCCACTCTCTTCCTAAATCCTGGACTGCATCAAAACTTGGGCTTATGAGACATAATTTACGAAGTCCTTGTATCTCTTTAAGACATTCCCGCATTCCCCACGGTGAGTCCCTCAGAAATCAACCAGAAGGAATAGAAGGCATCTCTACCCTAGCTAGGTAAACAGCCACCAAGTACATACAAGCAAGACTATCAGATTGGCCAAAAAATTCATTCATCGGGGAAAAATTTCATTTGGTCTTAAGAAAAGGACACATTTTTCATTTTCACTGAGAACCACATTGAACAATGAATTCAATAACCAAAAGAACTTTTTGGCCATCACAATAGTTTCACTGCCAATAAAAATGCCAAAAACTAAGAGGATCTCCCCATGGAGGAGCCCTGAATATGTCTTTAGGGTTATCCTTAAGTTGAATCCTGGGAAAACTCACATGAAATAGATTTTGAAGTTTCAATCATTGGAGTCAGCTCATTGAAAGAAAACTCTATGAAGATATAACCAAGTATCTCTCTTTTACAGAATGTGTTTTCCTTAAAGGGGTAAAGTCGAGCTGAGGCCAGCATCTTCTTAAATCAGTGCCAGGAATGGATTCTTAAGACTAGGATGCCAAGCACTGCTGCACAATATAATGGGAACCACAGCCTGAGCCAGGGGAGCGCTCGGTTCCGTCCTCACCTTGGTGCCCCGCTAGCCGGTCGGGCGGCGCTGGGAAGCCAGGTCCTGCCAGGTCCCCAGGACGGTGAGGCGGTGTCTGCTCCACCTGACCCTGCAGAGATGGGCATGAAAGGCTCCGGTCAGAAGCAGCACTTCACACCCGTTACACCCGCCACCTCACTTCACACCTGTCACACCCGCCACCTCACTTCACACCCGTCACACCACCACTGCACTTCACACCTGTCACCTCACTTCACACCCGTCACACCCGCCACCTCACTTCACACCCGCCACCTCACTTCACACCGTCACACCACCACTGCACTTCACACCTGTCACCTCACTTCACACCCGTCACACCCGCCACCTCACTTCACACCTGTCACCTCACTTCACACCTGTCACACCCGCCACCTCACTTCACACCCGTCACACCACCACTGTACTTCACACCTGTCACCTCACTTCACACCCGTCACACCCGCCACCTCACTTCACACCTGCCACCTCACTTCACACCCATCACACCACCACTGCACTTCACACCTGTCACCTCACTTCACACCCGTCACACCCGCCACCTCACTTCACACCTGCCACCTCACTTCACACCCGTCACACCACCACTGCACTTCACACCTGTCACCTCACTTCACACCCGTCACACCCGCCACCTCACTTCACACCTGTCACCTCACTTCACACCCGTCACACCACCACTGCACTTCACACCCGTCACACTCAGCACCTCACCTCACACCTGTCACACCCACCACCTCACTTCACACCTGCCACCTCACTTCACACCCGCCACCTCACCTCACACCCGTCACACCTAACACCTCACCTCACACCTGTCACAACCAGCACCTCACTTCACACCCTTCACACTCAGCACCTCACCTCACATCCGTCACGCCTGCCACCTCACCTCATACCCACCACCTCACTTCACACCTGCCACCTCACTTCACACCTGTCACGCCCGCCACATCACATCACATCCATCACAGCCACCACTTCACTTCACACCTGTCACAGCCGCCACCTCACTTCACACGTCACACCCACCACCCTCACTTCACACCTGTCACAGCTGCCATCTCACTTCACACCTGTCACGCCCGCCACCTCACTTCACACCTGTCACGCCCGCCACCTCACTTCACACCTGTCACACCCACCACCCTCACTTCACACCTGTCACAGCTGCCACCTCACTTCACACCTGTCACGCCCGCCACCTCACTTCACACCTGTCACGCCCGCCACCTCACTTCACACCTGTCACACCCACCACCCTCACTTCACACCTGTCACAGCCGCCACCTCACTTCACACATGTCACGCTCATCACCCCCAGCACTGCTTTTCGTCCCCCAATTCTTCCTTCCTTCCAACTACTTTTTTTCACTTTAAATGACAGTTGTTTAAAACACACTGTAAAAGGAAAATTAACCACGAAAATGGACAGCCTGCTTGGCAAGGGAGTTGGAAGAAAAGTTACTCTTATTTTCTGGCTTAAATTGCTTTCCCTGAATAGCAATTCAAAAAGAATTACTGTCAACGGCAGGATTTAAGCCATGAATACAGAGAATTAGCATTCCGTGGAGCAGAGGATTTTCCGTAACAGTTACTGGTGATCAAGCCCTATGCGGTCTATCACCTGGGATGCAAACACCCAGTGACTGTTTCATAACTGGACCCTCCACAAAGCATCAGAAGCTCAGAGGCATTTTTTTAAAAAATGTTCTTATATTAAAGATTTATTCAGACTAAAATTTTTTCTTACACCAGCTTTAGTAAGTTATACTTTTATAAGAGTATGCCTATTTTCATCTAAAATTTCAAATTTATTGTCATAACATCCTCTCACTTTATTATCTGAAGAGATATCACTATAGTTTCACTGTTAGTAGTTGTTGGTGGGATTTTTCTTGATTCATTTCATTGATTAGTGAGATAAACATTTTACTGATATTTTCAGAGGATAACTTTCTAGCTTTTTCAACCCTCTCTGTTGTCTTTCGTTTGTATACAGTATTTTCTCTCTTTTTTTAAAAAAAATTTATCAGAATATAGTTGATTTACAAGGCTGTGTTAGTTTTAGGTGCACAGTAAAGTGATGCAGTATACAGATATTTATTCTTTTTCAAATTCTTTTCCCTTCAGGTTATTACAGAATACTGAGTAGAGTTCCCTGAGCTACACAGTAGGTGCTGGTTGGTTGTTTATTTTATACATAATAGTGTAAATATTCAGTGGCACTTTTTAGACCTCAAGTAAGAATAAGAATTTTCAGTAAAAGTTAAAAACAGCAACTTAAAACCAAGCCCACACACTACTCCAGAGAAACCTCTTTATAGGATTATAATCAATCCAATGAAATGCACAGTAAGATGTGGAAAATGGGCCTGTAAACTCTTTATATGCTGAAAAGGAAATATTAGCAGTGATTAACCTGGGGTGAAGAGATAGCAAATTTCTCTGGCACATTAAAGAAACTTTGAGAATTATTATAATGCACATTTTACCACTGTAATTAGGTTTTAGAACTGTGTCAGAAAGTATAAGATCTTCATGGAAAAATCTATTAATATTAATAAAAATTAACATGAACACAAGTAGGTACCTTCAGCAACCTCACCCTTCCTGGTACTGCAAAGCTCTGCAGGTGGAAAGTCCCCCCGATCCAGGAGTGCCAGTGTCCTGTGGAGCGTACTCTGCCAGCTGGACACAGAAGGTACAGCCACCCAGTACCACCCCATGACTAGAGGCAGCCCTGGGACTGGAGCCCAGGCAGCCAGGCTTCAGAGCCCACATGCTTTCCCTCCCAAGCTGCCCGAGAAATTCCAAAAAAGCACATTATTCTGACAGATGCTTTAGGGCCTGAATGCCCCCTAGTCAGTGGCTTCTGCACCCACAGTCTTTGTCTGCCTGAGTGAGGGGATGGCGGTAAGTCCACTCTCTGTCCACAGGGTGGGTCTGGTCCACAGTCTGCTGGGGGCCACCGTGGGGAGCACTGCACAGACAGTCCAGGAGGGACGGAAGATGCTTGCTCTGCTCCCTGGGAAGGCACAGCTGCCTTCACACCTCCCTCCAGAAAACCTGGGAAAACCAGACAAAGACCTCTGAAGAAGAGACACTTTCACTTGCTTCTCTCTCTCTGTGTTCTCTCCCTTCAAAAGGAATAGCTAGCTCTCTCTTGGTTTTTAAAATCACAGATGTAATGCTTGCCTGTTAGGAAAATCTAGGCATTAAGGGACTTCCCAGGTGGCTCAGTAGTAAAGAATCCATCTGCCAGTGCAGGAGACGCAAGAGACCGGGGTTCAATCCCTGGGTCGGGAAGATCCCCTGGAGGAGGAAATGGCAACCCACCCCAGGATTCTTGCCTGGAGAATCCCATGGACAGAGGAGCCTGGTGGGCTACAGTCCACGGGGCCACATCCAGACACAACTGAGTGACTGAGTACACACAGATGCTAAAGAAAAGAACAAAGATAAAAATTAAAATAAACCTCTTTTGTTCACCCATGGATGTTATCCAATCAGGTTTTGATCTGTTCTTTCAGAGGAAAAAAAAATGCACACACAGAGTTTGTGCGGTAGCAATGTTTGAATTATTTATGGACAGCATCTATGTTATATTTGAATCACATGGGGGTTACAACTGATCCTGATAAAGAACGGAATCACCATCATGACACCCACTGCTGTATTTTAACGCATATTTTCAAAAATTTCCATGGCAACAAACATTCCCCAACAGCCCTTTCAAAATTCTATCATACCACATTAAGTAGCCGTGTAACACAATTTCTTTCATTAATACCCAACTGGCGAATGTACAATTTGTTAAGAAACTTAAGTTTTTGATTAGGAAAGAGGGGAGAAATTGGTTTGGAGGACATGGTGTCTGGGAGCCAAAGGGATGCTGCTAAGACCCTCCCTGAGGTGCTGAGGATACAGCGAGATTGTCAAGGTTAGAGAACCAAGTGGTCCCCGCCCCCCAGATTCAGTAGTCTCCCCATCTAAGGTCACCCCACCCACTTTCTACAACTCCACAGCCCAATGTTCTCCATTCAATCAGCCTTTACCATCTGAGAGAAATATTTTTCCTTTTTTCCCAAATTTTAACACCACCCATATAAGTATTTGAAAATACAAAGTAGAATTAAAAATTAGCCTAAATCCTATGGACATGAACATGAACAAACTCCAGGAGACAGTGAAGGACAGGGAAGCCTGGCGTGTTGCTGTCCTTGGGGTCGAAAAGAGTCAGACGTGACTGAGTGACTGAACAGCACCCCCTGGCAGTGGGGTAAGGCAGCATTCTTCTGAATTTTGCACCTTTACTACACACAGCTGGACACTGCGCAAATCATAGGCTGTAAACAATTTTCTCAGAGAGGGCAATGGCACCCCACTCCAGTACTCTCGCCTGGAAAATCCCATGGACGGAGGAGCCTGGTGGGCTGCAGTCCGTGGGGTCGCTAAGAGTCAGACACGACTGAGCGACTTCACTTTCACTTTTCACTTTCAGTCATTGGAGAAGGAAATGGCAACCCACTCCAGTGTTCTTGCCTGGAGAATCCCAGGGATGGGGGAACCTGGTGGGCTGCTGTCTCTGGGGTCGCACAGAGTCGGACACAACTGAAACGACTTAGCAGCAGCAGCAAACAATTTTCTGTTCTGCAAAAATGTAAATTTTCCCCCAATTTGCATCACAAAAGGTTCTTTTTTGAAAAAATTGGTAAGTATCATTTTTCCAGATTCTAAACTACTCTCAGAAACACTTTCAGTCACAAATTTCGGGTAATATAAATACAATCCAACAAACACCTTTGTGCATAAAACCTGCCCACATTTCCAATCATTCTCTTAGAATCCCCGAAGTAGAAGGAGTAGGTCAAGAGTTCTGTGCTTTTTCTTTTTGAGTCTGGATACACACCGCCAAGCTCTGGTTCCCAGGCTACCCTCCACCAGAAGCAGAGCACGGCCCCCTCCGCAGCCCCCAGGTAGCCGGCAGGTGGAAGGCAACAATTTTGGAACTTTTTCTTGCCCATCCCGGAGGCAGGCAGTGGTTTTCACAAGGTCTTAAATGATGCA